TGCAGCCGCTGCGCGACGAGGAGGCCGAGGCGCGGCGCCGCCTGGAGACCCTGATCAGCGCCGCCTTCGCGCAGCACAGCCCGGCTGTGGAGGTGCACACCGCCGTGTTCTGCCCCGGCCGCCCCGACGGCGTCCTGGACGTGCAGGGCGCAGCCAGCGCACAGCACAGGGCCGCCGCGCGCCGCCGCGCGCCCCTCGTGGATCGAGAGACCCAGACTGACGGTGAGGGGCCGTGGGGGTGGAACGCCAGGCCGCGGCGTCGGGGAGGAGGGCGAACTCCCGGGACCCTGGGGTGCTGTGCCCCGCCCGCCGGTCGCCGCCCGTGGCCTGTTAGCGCCGCTGTCCCCGCGCGGCCGCTCGCCCCGTTGTGGGTGGGGAAGAATTTCTGGCCCCCAGAAGTAATCTCACCTCCAGGCGTGCTCACTGGGCCGTCTCCGCGGGAAAGGGCTCGGGTTCACTTAGTTCAGAGGGTTACGGTTCCCACCCTGCCCGCTTCTCTTCCAAGTTTCGCCGCTGTCCGGACAGATGGGGCCGGGTGTGGACCCAGGCCTGCCCCGTTATTCCTTTCTTAAATTTCAGTCTTCGCCTAGGAAGGAGTTAGAGTAGGAACAGGGAGCCAGGCGCTCTTCGGAGAGCTATTCACCTGGAATCTCCAGAAGCTGGTAGCCTGGAGACTGCACACCCTCCGCAGATTTTTTTTTTTTTAATAGGCGTATAAGAACTGGGCCAGCAGTGCAGGGAATCAGGGTGAGAGGATTCACTAGAAACGGAGCAGGAAGCAGAACAGGAGATCTACTGAAATACACTGCTGAGGGGAGCGGCGGGGAGACAGGAGGGGTCCACCACACCATGTGGGTCACCCCGGCTGGTGGGACAGCTCCATAGTGCTGAAACGTTCACCCCTGGCCACCAGGGAGGCCCCTGGCGCAGATTTCTTATTCTCAGTCCTTGAGTGCCTTCCTGCTGCGAAATCCAGGCCTGTGGCCTCATGACCCGTCTGCAGGTCTGAAGGCCTGGCAAAGGACTCTTAAATGAACCCCAAATGCTTTCTGTCTCTAGAAGCCCCTCCAGGGGCACCCGTGGGGAAGGACAGACTGGACAGGGGCGGCCAAGGTCTAGGTATCAAGGCTCTGACCCTCCTGCTGATGAACCTGTTACCCTCCTGATGCGGGTGCAAGAGTCCAGTTGGGGCCCGAGGCCCCGGGGCGAGTGGCCACATCCTGGTGCCGGGATGTGCTGAGGGGCCAGCAGGGACCTTCTGGGTGCAGATTTGAACACCCTCAGGACCTGGTCCTTCCAACCACACTTTACACTCCCTTGGGCCCCTTCCTGCCTCCCTCCCAAATAGCCCTGCCTCCTGGGCTGGCCTGCCTGGCTCAGAAAGCCCCTGCCTAGGGACTATTGTAGTCATGTCCTCAGCCGAGGCTGGAAGCCCCATTCCACCTCACCCCAACTCCCACACTCTGTGGTGACGTCTCCGGTGCCTCGCCCCCTTCACCCACAGCCGCCCTGCCTCTCACGGCCTCCTGCCCACTTTTACCTCCAGCCCTCCGCCGTCAAGCAGCCATGCCACACCCCTTCTGTTGACCTGGCCACCTCTCCCTGCACAGCCTGGGAGAGGGGAATGAGAGGGAAGACAGGTGAAGCCATTGTAACACCATGCAGGCTGTGATGTGGGGTTCAGAGGTGGCGAGATCTGGAAAGAGCTTCCTGGGCTAGGCCCGGTGGTTTTGACAGAGTGCTGCAGGGCTCTGATGGAGGGGCAGGCTCCCCCAAAAGCAGGAGAGTAAAGCTTGTTCACCAGCCCTTTGTTGCTCGTGGTCACTGGTGAGAACTGGCTGTGGGCAGCAGAACGGGCTGTGCACGTGGCCTGTGAGGGGAGGCGTGTGTGCCAGGCCAGGTACGTGTGCCATGCTGGAAGGCTCTGAGCCTCGGACAGTCTCGCCAGATCTATGCCAGTGCCGTTCTCACATCCTCCAGGCCAGGCCTCACCCATCCATGCTTCCTGCTGCTTCTCACTAATGCTTACTGTTCTTAGTAATTCCTAATTCTTATTCATAAGAATAAGCCTGACCCGTATCTCCTCCTAACTCTTATTCATAAGCCTAAGTCTGACCCGTGCCTCCTCCACCACTCTCCTGGTGCACAGGGACTGTTGTCTGCCTCTTTTTGGATCCTTGGCCTAAATGTAGTATTCCTTACATTATGGCCAGCAGGTCTACCCTGAGTTCCTGCCTCTAATTCACATCCACCCGTGCTCCTCAATCAGGGGCAATTTTAAGACACACACACCACACACACATCGAGGACTTTAGCAATGTCTCGCAACTTGGGGAGATGGGTAGATGCAAATGGCCTCGTGTAGAAGGGTTCAGGGATGCTGTATGCTTCATACAAGGCACAGGACCGCCCCCCACAGCCCTCTGCAGAGAATTATCTGACCCAACAGGGAGGCTGAGAAACTCTGATTTTGGATGAGTTAAAAGCCAGTTAAAACCAGTCAAAAGCCTTCAGGTGGCCAAAACTCTGAAATTGCAGGTAAAGTTGCCTCTGGAGTTCCTGACCTATCTGTGTATCTGGGTTAGACTCCTGACCGGGGTTTCCAGTCTCTCTGGCTCTAAACTGAAACCCCCCCCCGACCTCTCCAGGGGGCTCCCTGGCTCTTGACTTCAAGGGATGACTACCCTCCATAGATCTGCCTGCTCCCCAAGCCTTGCTGGGCTGAAGGTCAACCAGGCCAATCAGGTCACCCAGCTTTGTGCATCTGGGCTTTCTTTCTGCTCCAGTCTCTGGTATTTTTTCCTCCTCCATCCTCTCCCTCAAGAGATTTTTCAATCTGTTAAGATCTGTGTAGTTTTCTGACACCCTGCTGCCTTCTGGCAGCTTGGAAAGAAAGTGCCCTGGGTGGGACTCGGGTCAGTGCGCCCCCCCACCACCATCCTCTCCTCCCCCAGCCCACTGTGCAACGTGGAGAGGTCACTGAACTTTTCTGAATCCCAGTTTCTCCTGCAAAAAGAGAAACACTTAGGTCTTTCCAGCCTGTCATTGCCCAAGTCACAGCGGACGTAACCTGGCGTGAGAATTCCATCCAGATGGGTCTGCCCTAAACCCTGCGCTGGGCAAGAGTCGGGGTCACAGGGCACCCGGGCTCAGTGCTAAATACTGACCTTCCTTGTAAAATGGAGAATGTTCTAAGATGAGCACATTTTTATGTTGCAGTCAAGTGTGCAGTTCATGGCTATCAATGCTTTTTCCTCTTCCATCCTATAAGAAAAAAACCCATATCATTAACTCCATAATCCCGACAGGCCTGGCAAGTTTGGGGTTGCAGAGACAGGGTGTCATGAGCTTGAGAAAGGCACGGTTTTCCAAACAGCTGTTTTATTTTCCAGTGGAGGCGTGTATGGTGGGGGCGGGGATTTCTTTGCCAAATGCCGGGGTTCTTACCACAGTTGGGGATCCCCAACCCCTTTTCAAAACGAGGGGAACATATTAGGAGAAAACTGTTTTACATAGGATAATGTGGGGACAACTGAGATGAAGGTTGTGCATCTCCCATGAGCCCTCAAATTTTCATTAATTTTGCCTAAAAAGTCACAAAATGCATGGTAAAGTAGGTTTTCGTGTTTGTTTTTTGGTATGTGGGGAAAGCGGGGGCCAAGCTGAGTGTCACCACGAAGGTGTCTTAGAGAGAAAAGGGACCCAGGAACACACCGGTGGAGAGATGTCTGAAGGACCCGCGCTGTTGAGAATCATGGGGAGCCAGGCCCCTCGGGCCTGGGGTCAGGCGCCCACGGTCTGTGAAGAGCACTGCCCGTCCCTCCAGTAACTGCGAGGAGGGAGGAGAACAGGCTGTGGTGAGCCAGGAAGGCTGTCCCCGAGCCCTGCCAGGAGCCAGCTGGCTTTTGTGACCTCACAGGAGGCTGTGGATGACTGTTCTCTGGGGTCTTGGGTCCTCCTGGAGGCCAGACAGAGCCTCCCCAAGGGCAGGGCAGACGGCCCCTCTAGGAGGGAGCCACCCGGAGATCAGCAGCTCCATGTAGGTCCACAGCTAAGTCGGGAGGACCCACCATGAAGAAAGGCAAGAGGAAGAACTCCAAGGCCCGACGCCGCGGCTCGACGTCCCAGCACGCGAGCTCCGAGTCCACCCCCCAACAGCAGCAGAGCATCGAGGCCAGCCCCCAACAGTCCAGCTGTGGAGCTACGCCACAGCAGACCGCCCCCGGGGCCACCCCACCGCAGCCCAACCCCGGGGCCACCCCGCAGCCGCCCAGCTCCGGAGCCATCCTGGCGCAGCCCAACTCGGGGTCCACCCCACCACAAGCCGATTCCGGGACCAGTTCGCAAACCAGCTCTGACTGTTCCCCTCAACAGCTCGCGACCCAGGCTCCCACCACTACCCCCAAAGTCAGCCAGTCGGCTCGTTGCGTGTCATCCCGGGAAAACAGCTCAAAAGGCTCCCGGTGCAGGAAATCAGGTAGGCAGGCTTCCGGCTCAGGCAGGTGGAGCCTGTCTACTGGCCGAGTGCCAGGAGGGTCTGCAGGCCGGTCTTACGGGGTACGCTGGGTCTTAGGAGCTGGTGAGGCGCTGTTGATGTGTGTCCTAGAGTTGTGCTTGTGGAACCTAGCGTTGTGTGTGTGTGTTCACTGGAGACCAGGAAGGCTGGGTTTTTCTTTTGTTAGCTTCCTGAGTCTCCTTGAAGAGGGCAGCCACATAGATGATTAATATTGGGCTTGCTCAGTCTTAATACCGTGACAGTGATATTCCTTAGCAGTCAGAAGTTCCACGTGGTTGCTAAAAAAAAAAAAAGCAGGGATGCATTAATAGAAACATATGGTATAAGACAAAGGAGGGGATCCTACTGCTTTATGCTGTCCTCATCAGGCTATCTCTGTGAGCTGTAAAAGATGCCTAATAATCCAGTCCAAAGAAGATTATCTGGGTGTCTGAGAGGAGTGGGGGATGAGAGGAGGGGTTGTGGCGATAACTGTTTGGAAGATGAGAATTGGTTGAGGAATTGGAAGAAATCTGTCAGGTAGAAGACTGTGAGTAGACTTGTTACATGTTGTCTTCAGCTATCTGAAGAAGGGCCCATGGAGGGGATTGCCAGGTAAAATACAGGACATCCAGTTAAATTGTCATTTCTGATAAACAACCACTTATAGGTCCCAATACTTTACAGACACCCTGTATTTTTATTTGCTAAGTCTGGCAACCTTACCCAGTGAAGACACTACAGACAGGCAGAAAACATTTCCAGTTACTAGCCCTGTCTGGAAAATGGAATGGCTGTCCATAAAAAGTGATCAGTCTGAATGATCGTGTGATGGGAATTCATCTGGAGTTCAGGAAATGAACTTGCTGCTGCTACTACTACTAACAGCAGTAACCATTTATTACAGAACAGTTACTGTGCACCCAGCACGTGACTGAGCTGTCTGTTAATCTTCTCACAACGGTCTTAAAAGGAGGGTACTTTGACATCACCTCCATTTTATAGGTGGGGAAACCAAGGCTCAAAGAAGTCAACTCACTCTCAAGCAGGCACTGGTCGCATCAAGAGGCGACTCAGCCTATGCTGACTCCAAAATTCTCACTCTTAACTGCAGCTCCTGAGAGGAAGAACACCCTTCTCTGAGCTTTCTCTAGGTCCACTGAGCAGCCACCCTCCCCCCAGGCCACAGCTTATCCCTTTGGCATTTTGGGGACCCAAATGAGCAGTGGGAATGCAAGGTATTGTGACAGTGATATTCCTGTGGTGAAGAATCAATCTGTTCTTAACATATGGAGAGCCATGCTATGCTCCATATTGCATTATAAACACCCACTGCCAGGATAAATATTTCTGGATTTTGACCTTCAAAACCGCATCTATAGAAAACAAAAGCTTCTGTTCCTAAATCTTTGAAAAAACACACATGGCTCAGCCTAGGATGACTTCTACCTGTTGAAGAGGCAAACAGGGAGCAGTGGAGGTTAGGAATGGTAGCGGTAAACACGCTACTCTTCTATTGCAAAGAGAGTATTTTCCCTGTGAGTGGGAAAAGGGATGAAGGCCATTAAATAAAGGATGCTATTACTAAAGTCAAAATCTTCTCTTGCATATAAAAGATGTTGTAGTTCAAGAAAATGCAGTGCATCTGCTATAAAGGCGGTAATCACAGACACTAAGTGTTGATGATAATGTGGGAAAGTCAGAACTTCATACAGTGCTGGTGGAAATGTAAAATGACATAGCTGTGGTAAACAGTCCGGCAGTTTCTTAAAGGGTTACAGATGAAGCTGCAGTATGACCCAACAGTTCCACTCAAGCTAATTATATACTCAAGCTCGTTAAAAACATGCATCCACAGCCAACAAGAGAATTGAACGTTTGTAAATATTTATGCACCCAACATAGGGATACCTAAATATATAAAGCAAATATTAACATACCTAAAGGGAGAAGTAGACAGCAAGACAATCATAGTAGGTGATTTTAATATCTCACGTGCATTAATGTTAGACTATCCAGACAGAATAGCGATAAAGTTTGATCTTACATAACGCATCAGACCAATCAGATACACAGAATACTCCATCCAAAAGAATAGAATCTATGTTAAGTACACATGGAGCATTCTCCAGGATAAGATCATATGTTAGCCCACAAAACAAGTCTTTATTATTGATGTTATTTTTTAGTTCTTTTTTACATGTCTTAATAAATTTAAGAAGCCAGATATTCTATCAAATATCTTTTTAACCAAATGGTAAAAACTGGAAATGAATTGCAAGAAGAAAACTGGACACGACACTTTACAACTATGAAAAACAATTTAGAAGCACCTCAAAAGTTTAAAAATAAAACAACAATGTGATTCAAAATTCCACTATGGGGTATTTATCCAAAGGCAACAGAAACAACTCAAAAAGATAATGCATTTCATTGACATGTTATTTACCAGAGCCAAGCGCTGGAAACAGTTGCTGTCCATCATAAATTAACAAATAAAGAAAATGTGATATATGTACCGATAATATAATGGAATATTATTCAGCCATTTAAAAGGAAATTTTATGTCTACAACTATACAGGTGCACTGTGACAGCATTATGCTAGATAAAATAAGTCAGAGAAAGATAAGTGCCTTATGAGATCACTGTTATATGAAAACTTTAAAGTCGAACTGACTGTCCATCAACTGATGAGAAGATGGATAAATCATGTTGTTTATCTATGCAGAGAAATACAATTTGGGACCAAAAAATGATGATGTTCTCATACCTGTACATCGTGGACAAACGCTATGCTAAGTGGACAGTGCACAAACTGCATGGCCAAACACGTCGTGAAAAGCACTTAACTAAGGGAAAGCAAAGGCTCTCATGCCATACGGGTCGTCCCCAACATGTCTACGAAAAGTAAAGCTATTGGTCAGAACACGGGGGCTGCTCATGAGTGTGAACTCACTTTGGAAGGGGATGATGGTGATTGCACTGCTGTTTTTTGTACTTTTTTTAAAGATGTATTTATTTATTCATATGGAACTGAGCTACAGGCCAGAGGTACAGGAGGTGAGAGGATTCACCAGAGACAGAGCGGGGAGCAGAACAGACAGGCCCAGTGAAATGCACTGCTGAGGGGAGCAGTGGGGAGACAGGAGAGGTCTGCTGTGCCCTGGGGGTCACTCCCTGGCCGGGGATCGAACTTGTGCTGAAGTGGCTGCTGATGGCTTCACAGTGCTGCACTTTAACCCACTTCATCAACAAAGGGCCCTGTTTTTTGCAAAACAACAAAAACTGAGCACTTCAAAAGGATTGATTTTATGGTCTGAGAATTGTATATCTATTTGAAAAATTGTTTAACAACAACAAAAGTCTTACTTTTAGAATTCCTCCCAGCCCCATTCCAGGAAAAGCATCTGCAGTGAGCAGGTGTTCACTGCACCTAAGCTAGAAGTATGTTGCCCGCGGGCTTTGTGAGTTTGCCTGGAAGATTCTGCAGAAACTGGGACTGAAGTAGCTGCAGGAGCGCAGTTCCTGGCCAGAAGTGCCTGGCATGACTGCAGGGGACTTCACCTGCAAGTCCAGTGGGGAGCGAGAGCCAAAGGACAAAAATAGGGGCAGTTTGAGGAGGTGCAAAGGGCTGTACATGGACACACCGGTTGTCTTCCGGGTGAACCAGTGAACCCAGAAACATGGAATGTGGCAGCCCTGGCTGCAGGCGTTTCAGGACAGCCTCAGACACCCGCTGCCTTCACACCTGCCGGCTCCAGGGAGGAGCCCTGAGCTGAGCCAGCATCCTGCACCTCCGTGTACCTGCCTGTGAGGACGCTCGGAGGACGCTCTCTGAGCCTCTGTTTCCCTATTTGTAAACCGAGGAGAGCCAGGGTCCATTCAGTGCCCCACCGTTGAATGAGATGGTGGTGGGCATGCTGGTAGCCTGCTAGGGAGCACCAGCCTTTGGTGTCCTAGGAAGCACCAGCTTATAAAATAGCCAGTGCCCAGGCTGCGCGAGTCCCCTCCTGACTGGCAGGACGTCCCCTGGGCTAGTTCTGTCCCACTCCTTGCTGGGCCCTTAAGAGCCAGCGTACCCCGTGCCGCTGCAGCTGGGGTGTCCGTGGAGGCTTCTCTGTATTCCGGGCCCTCCCAGCCTCCTGGAAGCAGCCGGGCCCTCATCTCTCTCCTTTTCTGTCCACCCAGGGGCTCGAGAGGGCCTGCTGCCCATCTGTTCCTGTTCCGCTTGCCCCGGCAACTCTGCCTGCTGGCGTCACCTGGGCGTGTGCCACAGCCGCATCTTCGATGCCCTGCTGCCTCGAGCCTGGCCGACCATGCCAGGGAGAGACCTCCCCAACCTCCTCACCTTCTACAGGTTCTGGAGGGCGAGGGGGGCTAGAGCCCTGGGGCTCTGTCACCCCAGAGCCTCGCTCTGCCCCCACTGCATTAAGCGTTGCGTGTGACGCCTGGCCCTTTCTGGTGCACTGGGGTCCCCCCTGTGCAGAGAGGGGCTGGTGTTCTTCCTCCCCCGGAATGGCTGCTTCTGGGGGCTCACCTCCCAGCGCGCACACCCCCACGGCCCTCCCTGGGCTCCCCGATATTCAGGAGTTTCGTGATTAAATTCCATCGGCATTCACCTTGTGGCCCCCATGAGAGCTTCGGGTTCTTGGCCTGCATGTGAACTTGGGGACACATACTGGTAGCGACTCACAGCCCCTTTGGTAACAGCAAGACCTCCCCTGCCCTCCAGGGGGCCTTGGACTATTCTAGGGGTCCCTGCAGGAAACATGCCCGCAGACTGGCCTTTCGTGGCAGGGCCCCCCACACCGCTACCTCAGTATCTGTCTTTTTCCTCTCCCCAGAAGCCACCAGGAGAGCCCTGGTGGCCCCCTCCTCACTCCAGGAACAGGCTGGAGGTGCGACCCCTCATTTCCGGGGGAGACCAAGTGCAGGGGCAGGGAGGGCCCCCAGAGCATCTCCGCCTGGGCTCAAGGTCTCACCAGTGTGCACTTGGGGACCTCTTGCCCTGTCCCCAAGCAGACCCCACCCCACTCCTCCCCTACCCTACCCCTCTGCTGTCCATCCTTGGGAGGCGCCTGGTCCCAGACACTGGACAGGGCTGCGTGCTTGGGCGTCCTCCGTCAACATGAAAACACTTCTGCCCACCGCGCCCCCGGTGCCCGCTGGCCTCCAGCATGGCTGGGGTGCCTCCTAGTTGTGATGCAGATCGTACTGCTCTAGGGCCGGCCTCTGGGAGCACTCTGGGGGGAGGACGGGGCGCTCTGCCCCAGGAACTGCCGGCCGCCGGCCAGAGAGGGACAGGAGGCCGCGGCCCCCAGCGCGTCGGAAGAGGAGGCCCCACTCCTGCGCCGGGGTCCGGGCTGACTTTGTAGGGACACTGGTAGCTGAGCGGAGTCCCATAGGACCCTAGGGTCCTCCACGGCTGAAAACGAAAAGGAAGAACCTTCTAGGTGGAGCAAAGGGCCAGAGCGAGGCCCAGAATCAGGAAAGTGAGCGGGAGAGGGCGCCCCTGCCCGGAGCCGCCCGCCGTGGTCTGGAACAGGTGCAGCGGCTCCTGCTCTCCGGCCCGGTGTCCCCCCCCGCCCCCACCTCAGCACGGGCGGGCTCCCAGGGCCGAGACTGCCCGGAGGGGCGCCGGCATGGAGGGCGCCTTTTGAGCCCTCCGCAGTTTCTCCATGCTGCTTTCCTTGCCTTGGGGTGGGTGTAATTTCCTCAGATTCTTCACCCCGAAATGGACGTGCCAGAACCTTCCTCACAGGGCTGTCGTGAGGCCTGAGGAGGATGTCGGTGGGAGGTGTCAGCACAGGGCGGGCGCTGCGTGTCTGGGGAGCTGGCGCCCCCCGCCCATCCGCAGATCCTGGGCATCTTGTGGGGAGTCTTGGGTGGGGGGGTTGTGGGGAGGGCGTGACCGCAAGGGCGAGGGCCTGCGTCCCCTTGCGAGGAGGACGTGAGGGGGGATGGGCATCGGCCCCTGAGGGGCCGGCTGCTGCTCCTGCAGGCGGCGCTCCAGCCCAGCCTCCCCCAACCCGAGTCTCTCTCGTTGGCTTTCCAGAAGACCTGCAAGGAAACACTCCTCCTCTCACCGCAATCCGCGTGCTCCAAGCTCTCGGGACTGCTGCTGTAGCTCTGGGGGCCCTGGGCGCTGCGTATTACATCGCTGAGTCCCTGTGACCAGCCCCAGGCCCGCGGTCCGGCAGGTACGTGGAGCCCCAGGAGCGCCGCCGGGCTGACGAGGCGCGTGCCCCCTCCTCGTGGACGGGCCGAGGGGGTGTTGGTGGTTGGGTGAAGCTGAGAACAAGGCTGGCCTTCGGGGTCATGGGGCATGGCTCTCTGGGGCGCCCTGGACACTCTTGGACTACTCCAGACCCCCTGTGGGGTGGCCAAAGCAGAGCCCCCCACTGCCCTGGACGGTGGAGGGTTCCCCTAGTCATGGCAGCAGACAGCAGGATGGCGAAGAGGAGGGAGGCGACCGGACGGCCATGCCTCTCCCCAGAACCTTCTCCCTGCCCAGAAAGTTCTTCCCCTTTCCCGCCACTTCAACCCTATTTCCGTGTCCTTCCTTTCTGGAAGCCTCCGTCAGCACAGCTGCAGGCGCTCACCTTTTTCATCCGTCTTCTCTACCCTTCCTGTAGTGTTTGTGTGTGGTGTGTGTGAGATGTGTCTCGGCAGCTTCACTGCACCATCCTCAAGGGCAGGCCGCCTGCCCACACAGCGTGGCCACGACCCCTTCTCAGCCCAGGCAACAGCCTGAGAGGCTCCACGGCCCAGGGACGACTGAGAGGGGAAGGCTCAGCCCCAGCCCCGCCCCCCTGGGCAGGTCTCACCTTGAGGCAAGGGGTGGCCTTGGGTGCTTCTCCCACAGCTGTGGGCACTAGAGGCAGGAGTAGGGCTGCGTGTCTGGGAAAACCAGCTCCCGCTGGCTGAGCACAAGCGCCTGGCTGGGGCAGTCTGAGGTGCTGGCGGCCAACATGATAATTCACAGGCCCAGAGAGGGGTCTAGGGGACACCAAGAGCACCCACAGTTGTCCTCACAGTCAAGTCCAAGGGCAGTGAAGGCTTCTAGTGATGATGGGGGAGGGCCTGAGGGGGGCAGCAGCCTTTCCATGCACCCCACCTCCACCAGCCACAGGTGTGGACAGGGAAGGGCACACGTGGGGGTGGTGCTCAGCACCTCAAAGCCCAGCCCAGAAGCAGCGCCAGCAGGAGCTCCATGCGCTGGAGGGACCCGTCAAGGGACACTGGAGGGCCCGGAGAAGCAGGAAGCTTCGTGCACTGAGCTGAGAGACAGAGGCGTGGGCAGAGGGCTCAGTGGGCAGCGTCGCCGTGGAGGTGTGGGAGTCAGACCGGGGGGTCCAGTCTCCAGGTCCTGGGGTCCAGTCTCCACCCCGCAACCTGGCAGCTGGTGCCAGGCTTCTCGGCGAGCCAGCGCCATCTCTACGCTGGGGAGACCGAGAGAGCTTCAAGGATGGTGCTGTGAGGCTGAAAGGAAGGGGCTGGGCCCAGGGCTGGGGAAGACGGGGGGCCGTGTGGGGACTCCCCTGCAGC